GAGAATGAGGCCTCTCTCCCAAGTCGGTCAGCAGGTAGGTGAGCAAGTGTAACTCCTCTGCAGCCATGGCTGTGGCGTAGATCTCAGCCTCACAACTGGAGCCGAGAACAGAAGACGAGTGCGTAGACCGCCAAGAAACAGAGCCAGAGCTTAGACTGAAGGTGTAACCCTGTGACGACCGCTGCGTAGCCTGGTCGTCAACCCAAGAAGCGTCCGAGTGACCAGTGAGGACAACGTCGCCCCCTCCTCCAAGCACGAGCCCCATGCCCGATGTACTGCACAAGTAGCGCAGTACCCTCTTATCAGCATCCATGTGCACCTTTCGGTGCCGACTAGGAGCTACGTAGCGAGCCAGAAGGCCAAGAGGGTACGCGAGGTCAGGACGAGTGCAGGTCATCAGGTACATGAGGCAGCCAACTAGCTCTGGGTAAGGACTAGTCGGCTTTACGGACTCGTCCGAAGGTGGAGCTGAGAGCGAGTGACCTGTAGCGAGAGGAGTGGCCTGTGCCGAGGACCAGGTGAAGCCGAAGCGCTGAAGGACCTGCTGCACCATGTGTGACTAAGTCAGTGTGATGGTGCGGCGTGCTCTGTCCCGGGTGATCTGCAAGCCAAGGTAACTGCGCAGCTCACCCAGGTCTGTGCACGTGTGTCTCTTCTGCAGTTCCGACTTCACCAGGGCGAGAGCCTCAGTGTCAGCAGTGGCAAAGACCAAGTCGTCGACGTACACGAGGATGTAGAACGGCGGCAGCGAAGTGTCGGTGCGCAGAAGCAGCGACGGGTCAGCAGTCGAAGGAGCAAACCCAAGAGCCGCAAGTGTCGTCCTCAGTGTGTCATGCCACTCATGTGGCACTTGGCGGAGACCGTAGACCGGCCGCCGGAGGGAACAACCCAGTGAAGCCGGGTGGGCGGCGCAGCTAGATCTCCTCGTGCACGCTGCCCTGTAAGAAAGCTGTGCTGAAGTCAAGCGAGTGAAGCTCGTAGTCACGCTGAGTGGCAACGTGCAGCAGCACCCAAAGAGTGGTCATCTTCGGGGTGGGGGAGAAGGTCTGGAAGAAGTCAACTCCCTCCCGCTGACTGAAGCCTCGAGCAACGTAACGAGCCTTGAAGACAGTCGGAGAACCTGGCGGCCGCTTCACCCTGAAAATCCACATGCCGTCGACTATGCTCGCCCCAGGAGGGGGAACCTCGTCAACGTATGTGCCTGTGGACTTCCATGATGCCATCTCTGCGTCCATGGCTGTCTGCCACTGAGAGGAGTACTAACCCGCTATCGCCTCAACGTAAGAGCGCGGGGTCGGGATGTCTGGTGCATCCGGGTCTCCCTTAAGGGCAAGCAGCATGGCCACGAGATGAGGCGCAGCGGCCGCAAGACACTCAAGGTCCTCCTGTCTGTCCTCAAGGACGTCCGTGCTAAGAGCACACTCACCCCCGACGGACGGAGGACAAACAGACTCAGACTCAACAACAAGACTAGCAGCATAGTCTAGACGACAGGCAGCAGCAAAGTCAACTAGCTCAACGACAAAGGCAGACGCAGCCGCAGACTCAAACAACGGGTCAGTGACAACAGTGGCTAGCAGACGTGTGACAATAGGGTGCTCAGCACCAAACCGGTCAGACTTAGGGTCCGGAACGACAGGCAGAGAAGACGTAGGAGGAGACGGCAGAGGAACACGCTGCGGAGGAGAGGAAGGACGACGGACTACGAGGTGGGTGCCGGGGAGAGCCGGCTGACGCGGACGAGGAACACGACGACCGGAACTACCAGAACGGACAGGCGAGACAGGACGCAACGCAGGCTCACGACGCTCAGTAAGACCCTCTATCTGCTTAGTGTAAGGAGAAGGAGCAGGCAGCCGTGAGCCACGCTGTAACGGAAGACCAGTAGACGAAGGGAGACTAAGAACCTGGCGAAGCACAGAGTCAGGCGGTGGCTGAGACGACGGAGACGGTGGAGCGAAGAACAGGCGCGGTTGTGCAGTGCCACCAGCACCAGCAGCTCCAGTACCCCCAGAAGCTCCAGCACCTCCAGCAGCTCCAGAACCCTCAGCGCCAGCTCCTCCAAGACCAGCTCCACCAGCAGCAGCACCCCCAAATCCGGCTCCTCCAGTCCTAGGGTCTCCAGCCTCAGTGTCTTCAGCAGCAGCACCCCCAGACCCAGGGTCTCCAGCAGTAGCACCCTCAGGCTCAGCACCTCTAGTCCCAGCAGCTCCAGTACCTCCAGTATGGGCACCTCTGGGACCAGCACCACCCCCAGCTCTAGTGACGTCAGCAGAAGTACCTCCAGCGGCAGAGCCCCGAGCTCCAGAAGCGCGACCCTGACGGCGACCGTACCCGTCGTACAACTGCTGTGAGGTGAGAGGCACACGCGGACGAAGGCGGCTACTCCAAGGAGACTGCGCAACAGCAGAATCAGAACCCTCAGGCGTCGCACCCACAGACTCAGTACCCCCAAGCTCCTCACGCTCGGGCTCAGCACCCCCACACACAGCACCCCCAGGCTCAGGACCTCCAAGCTCCTCACGCGCAGGCTCAGCACCTCCAGGCTCCTCACGCTCGGGCTCAGCGCCCCCAGACTTCGCACCCCCAGGCTCAGCACCTCCTGAGTCCTCACGCGCAGGCTCCGCACCCCTAGGCTCAGCACCCCCAAGCTCCGCACCCCCACGCTCCGCACCCCCAGGTCCAGCACCCCCAACGACAGCACCACCCCCAGCAGGACTGGAGTCACCATTGACCTCAACAGGCGCAGGCAAGGGAGGATCTACCTGAGAAACACCTGAAGGAGCAGAACCTCGCGCGAGGAGGGGGTCTACCGGAGGAGGACTTGGGGCGAGAAAGAGCGGCGGGGGGGGGGGCGAGGGTCAGTGCGGTAGGGAAAGAGACGGTAAAAGGGGACGGACTCGTCAAAGGTGACGTCCTGAGACGGAAAGACGCGGTGCGAGGCGGGGTCGTAAAACTGCCAGCCAGGCGCGTCAGGGACAAAGCCAAGGAAGACGCATGGAATGGCGCGAGCGGAGAGCTTGTCCGCGGTGGTATTGCGGACAAAGGCACGAGCACCCCAGACCCGGAAACGCGACGCATTGTGTCCACAGCAGTGTGGGCGAGGTCTCCGGCAAGGAGACACGGGGCCAGAGTTTGAGCTGATGCGCAGTGTATCGGACCGCAAACGGCCACAGAAAATGGGGGGCAGCCGCATGGATCATGGAGGTACGAGCGACCTCCATGACTAAGCCAATGTGGCGCTCAGCAACCCCATTCTGCTTAGGAGAGGCCGGAAGCGTGAACGTCTGACGGATGCCGTGCTTCGCACAGAAGGCTGCCAAGAGGTCGGAGGAGAACTCACCAGCTCTATCAGAGTGTAGACGCACGACAGGAAAGTTCGAGTGGAACCGCTCGCGGAGCTGGAGACAAACAGTGCGGATGCAGGGGATCAAAACATTTGGGACCTTCCCCTTGCGCTACAAGGGGAAGACCGTGGTGTAACGCGTGTAGTCGTCAACGACCAGCACGAAGTACCGCTCGTGGCCCTGTCCACGGACGCGGGCTGGGCCCCACACGTCCAGGTGGAGAGTCTGCAGGGGAGCCTCTGTGGGAGGGAACGAGGAGGAGTGAGGAGCGGCGCGCTGCCAACCCTCGACGCAGGGAATGCAGGGCGGCAGACGCGGCGCGCAGGGCCTAAGCGGGCTGCGCGCGGGCGGCTTAAGCGGCGCGCGGGCCGGCAGCAGGCTGCGCGGGCGGCTGACGTGGCGCGTGGGGCCGAAAACGGGCTGCGCAGGCTGCTTAAGCGGCGCGCGCCAAAAAAAAAAAGATACGCGCGCGTGCAGCCGAGGCGCGTGCGGGCAGCAGGCAAGGCAGGCAGGGAGGCAAGGCTATAGGTGAGGTAACGTGGTAACAGGTGGGCCCTAATCTTAGGTCCTAAAGACCTACTGCTCTAGATACCATCTTAGAAACTAGGCAGGAATGATGTGTGCATTAGGTCAAGGTTGGGGTACGAAACTAGAGTGTCGAGATGATTTTGTGTGCCCCCTAAGGCGAGCCCCAATATAGCCTAGATAATAACATGCATATGTTTTGACACTTAAGATTGCCTGGGGGACGGGGAAGGGATGGTCAAGGACGAACGTTAGCATACGAAGCATACGCAGACACGGATTGAACGGAAAGCAAGCGGATTCTAGGGCTTCAACTCACCAGCCTTTGTGGTGAGGTTGATTTCCTCTTCTTCAAACCAGACACGGTATCTATGCCGCACACCGCACTTGAACGCGCGGTTCACCGACACATCCAGCGGCTGCACCAACGGTGTGCAGCCTCCTGGGATGACAGCTCGGGACAGCCGAAACATCCGCATGGTCTGCCCGACTGCCTCGGTCAAATGGTCGCGGTAGGAGTCGAGCACAACCAAGCCCTCCCTGCGGCGTACGGGTGTGTCACGCAGGGGCTTCAAAAACGGCACCATCACCTGGGTGATCCAATCTTGCACCAGGGCTTCGTCCATCCACCCCTTGTCCGACGCACGGACCACCACACCTGCCAAACAACATACGGTAAGAGCGTCAGGTTCGGTGGCGACATTCGACAGGCAAGAGCACGGACAACATCGTAATCGTGTGCTGCTTACCGGAAGGGATGGCCACCTTTGGGATGGTCTTGCGCTTGAAAACCACGTACGGCAGAAGTTTGAGCCCGTTCGCTGTTACTGCCAGCATGACAGTAACACGCTCCTTCTCATAGCCCGCACTCCGTACATGGACCGTGCGCGCTCCCTTCATCTCGAGCGTGCGCTGCGCCAGCATCTCCAGGAAAAGCGGCATCTGGTCCGCGTTCACGATAATGTCGAGCGGGTTATCATGCAGAGAGCGCATCTGCCGCACAAACTCCCAAAACGACTCCACCTTGGCCTTGCAATCTGCGAGTAGAGCAACGAGAAACATTAGCTAAACATTGCCATGGGTTAATCGCTTCACAAGCTAAACATTAGCTAAACATTGGCACAATCTTCACTTACCCGCAGCCAGCTTCTGTCCCATCTTCGTCTTCACCCGCCTCGCCAAATGCCAGCGCGCGCGGAAACGAGTCGCCCACCGGAACGAAGCGTGCCAGTTGACCACGTGCATCCTGTGCTTCATGTACTTGGCGCTCCACTTCTGGAGCATGCTGACCGTGACGGTAAGGCCCTTCGCCCGGTGCTTCAGGAACTGGCGGTAGACAGCCCGTTCCATGAACGGGTACTTGGACTTGCGCCCCTGCCCCAGGAGGCGACGGCGGCAGCTGGAAGCGACCTCCAGCCGCTCCCGCATCTTCTTCCATTCGCGGATCTGGCAGGGCTGCACGTTCGCGAGTTTCGCCAGCACGCGATTAGAGAGGTCGGGCTGGGAGTCTTGCATCTTCAACCAGTGGAGTTTCTCCTTCGCGGTGATGGCATTCCGCTGGCGTTTCATCATGCGGTGGCGAGGACTTGGCGGGGCAGCATCGGCGTTGCGCTTGGTCTGTCCCTGCGGGCGGTCACGCTCGGGAAAGGTAGGGACAACCACTCGAGGAAGGGTGGGGCGAGGACAGTCAGAGCTACTGCTCGGTTCATCCCGGGCAGAAGCACTACCGGGAGCATCCGGCTGGGGAAAAATAGGGCGAGAAGATGTCCGTGCGCGTGCAGCAGCGCCAGTCTGAACAGTAAAAGGGCGCTGCCGCCTTTCATCGGTATTGCTAGAGTCTGGAGATGACTCCATGCTTGTGAACTACGGAGGGATGGTGTCACTCGCCATGGCGGACGAGATTTTAAACTAGAAAAAAACGAGCACAAGGAGTTGCTCGCTCTCATAGCCAGCCGAGCTCTATGCAGAAACGTGCACTGAAGCCGCTTGACCAAAGGGACGCTGAGGGCCATGTGAGGAGGCCTAGACGTGACCAAACGAATGTCAAGAGGTCACAGGTACAGTGACCTCTCAGCACCGTGCGCGACTCGGGCCATGTATAGCACTGTACTGTGCCTGAACCCAAGCTGCACGAGGTTGGCATTGCTGTCATCGAAGCTGCCTCAGTTGGCCCACTGGAATTTGCCATGTGGCAGATTCCAGTGGGGGGTGACGTTATCGTCGAGGACTCGGTTTTGCGCCCGCGTTCAAAAAACTAAATGTGAGGACAGAATACTGTTTTTGTTTCCTCTCTTTTCTGCTTAAAAAAGTGCTATATATTAAGACCCGGGTATTATGTAGCTTTTTCCTATGAGAAGACACCACCCTTTTTTTCCCTGTATTTTTATATCTACCCTAGGGTGTTATGTCCGGGAGAATACAGTATATCCGGGGGAATACAATAAAAAAGAAAATACTATTAGATAACCACACGGACACAAATAAGCATGCACATTCTTTTATTACCATACCACACACAATTACGATACCACAATACCACTACACTTAATCACTGCTGCTGAAGCTGGAGCAACTGCTGCTGCACCACCTGCTGCTGCAGCTGCAACTGCTGCTGCAACTGGAATTGCTGCTGTTGCTGTTGCAGCCACACTTGCTCCAATCGCTGCTGCTCCTGGTGCAACCGTTCCTGCTGCTGTTGCTGCAGCCGCTGCTTCAGCTCCGCAGTCATATCCACACGCAACGACCCCGGCAGCTGCCAAAACGTTGCGGGCAGGTTCTGAAGCGCCGGGCAGTCGAGCCGCAGCAGGCGCAAGTGCTGCAGCTGCCCAAAATTCTCGGGTAGCTGCGTGAGGTTCTTGCTTGCCAGGGATAGCTCCTCCAGTGCAGACAGGCGGCCAAACGACACGGGCAGCCAGTTGAGATTGTCACAGCAGACGTCAAGGAGGGAGAGGCTGGCCAAGGCAGAGAGGGAGGAGGGGAGGGACTCGAGGCAGTGGCACTGGAGGATCTTGAGCGAGCGCAGCGCTGTGAGCTGGCCGATGGAGACGGGCAGCAGGGTGAGGTGCGCACAGGCGAGCGTGAGTGAGGTGAGCAGGGAGAGGTTGCCAATGGACTCGGGCAGCGCGTAGAGCTTGGGGCTGTCGAGCACGAGCGAGCGCAGCGATGTGAGCGCGCCAAAGGAGCGCGGCAGCGACCCCGAGAAGCGCAGCTGCAGGTCCTCCAGGCGGGGCAGCGCCACGAAGGTGGGCGGCAGGGCCGTGACGTGCGGGCACAGCAGACGCAGTGAGCGCAGACTGGCCAGCGAGCCAAAGGCCAGAGGGAGCACCGATGTGGACGGCAGGGCGGTGGGTGCAGGCGGCAGGCGGGATGGGTCCCAGGAGTCGGTGAGAGGAGAGGAGGGAGGAGGGAGGGGGGTCATGGAGGGGATGGGTGAGGGGGAGCGGTGTGGCGAGCGGGATCGAGAAGGTGGTGGTGGGGAGAAGGAGGCAGCGAGGGCGCTGAAGATGGCAGCGGCAGGTGTTGGGGGCGGTGGAGGCGTGAGCGGCAGGGGGTCGGGGATGGCAAGAGCGGCGGCTGGTTGGGGTGTGGGGACGGAGGCAGAGCACTCGATGGAGAGGGAGGCGAGCGAGGTGAGCAGGGTGAGTCCGCGCGGCACAGTGGAGGCGGCATTGGTGGGCAGGGAGAGTGAGCGCAGGCGCTTGAGGCGGGCAAAGAGCATGTCGGGCAGCTGCAGATCGCCCGAGCACCCGTCCAATCGCAGCTCCTCCAGGCTCGCCAGCTCAGCCATGGACGGCGGCAGGCTCTCCAGCGACCCGCTGACGAGGCAGAGCTGAGTCAGCTCTTTGAGGCAGCCGATGCCAGGTGGCACGAGGGAGAAGGCGCCGCGCAGGTCGAGGTGGTGCAGGCGGCGCAGGCGCAGCAGCGAGTGCGGGAGGAAGCGCAGGTGGCCGTGGGCGCCCCACACCTGCAGGTGCGTGAGACTGGGTGCCAGCAGCTGCAGGTCGTCCGGCAAGAAGGTGGCGTTGCGCAGCGTGAGGTGCTGCAGCTGCGTGAACAGACCCAGCGATGGCGGCACCGACGCACTATCCAGCGACTGCTGCTGCTGCTGGTGGTGCTGGTAGTGATCCCCAAACAGACTCCCACCCCCACCCCCACCTCCACCCCCAACAGCATCCCCATGGTCCTTGCCACGGCGCGGTGTCTCCCACAGCAGCTCTGTGAGGTGCTGCAGGCGCGCGGCAGAGGGCGGGAGGTCGAGCAGGTCGTGGCAGCGCAGGTGCAGCGAGCGCAGGCTGGAGAGGTCGTCCAGGCAGTTGGGCAGGAAGGCGAGGCCCTTCCACCCCGCCAGGGACAGGCGCTGCAGCGACGGCAGCGACCACAGGGAGGGCGGCACGAAGGCGGGCAGGGGGAAGGCGAGGTGCAGGTCGTGCAGCAGGGAGAGGCGGCCGATGGAGTCGGGCAGGCGCACCTGCTGCCGCGGGTTGTTGATGTGCAGCGACAGCTGGCGCAGGTGCTGCAGCAGCCCCAGCGACTCAGGGATGTCTATCACAGTCACCACCCCCTGTGCCTCGCCCTCCTCCCCTGCTCCTCCCATGCCTCCTCCTGTCTTAGCTCCTGACACCCCACCTCCCATCCCCGGTCTCCCTGCTAGGCCGCCCTCGCTGCTGCTCTTCCCCACGCTGCCACACACCGCCCACGCCCCTGACCCAAACGCCACACCTGCAGGCCTGGCCCGCGCAGGGCTGAGATTGGACCGGCCCAGGTCAGGGGAGGAGTGGAGGAGGAGGTTGGACTTGGCGGGCGTGGCGAGGCGGATTGGCACGGAGTCGTGCAGCAGCTCCGCCACGCTCTTGCTCACCCCCGCTGGCAGCCCGCCCATGCCGCCCCTGCTGCCAGTGTTGCTGCTGCCGAAGCTGCTGAACAGCCCTCCCAGGCCGTAGGCAGTGGGAGCAGCGGAGGTGGAGGAGTGGGAGAGGCCCGGCATGATGCCCGTCTGTGGCGTCCACCACCCGCCTCTCCCCCCCGCTCCTGTCCCCGCACCCGCTGCGTCCCCACCAACCAGAGAGCGCCAGCTGTCGGAGATGAGGGCGCCTGCAGCGCTGCTGGCAATGCGGCCGACGAGGGAGGTGCTGCCGCTGGCGGCTCCTATGAGCCCATCCGCTATGGTGCCCGTGATGGTGCCGCCTATTATGCTCCCCGCCATGTCAGATGCCCTGTTCCCCCGGCCTGCTGCTCCTGCACCTGCTGCCCCTCCCTGTGCGCCTGCCCCTCCCATGGGAGTGCCGTCGCCAGGGTAGCCGCGCGGCATGGCGCCCCCGCCAGCAGCGAAGAGCAGAGGACTGCTGGTGCTGCTGCGGGGGGCGTAGGGAGACGCACAGGCCGCGCATGTGGGGCATGTGGATGACGGTGCCTGCTGCTGCTGCTGGTGGCGCTGCTGGTGATGGTGGTTATGGTGGTGATTACGCATGAGGCTGGATCCACCTAACCCCTCTCTCGCCCCTCCCACTTCCCCGCTCCCCGCACCCGCACCCACCCCTGGCGGCATCAAGCTGCCCGGGGCAAAAAGAATCTTCATCAGCTGCTTCAGCTGTATGCCACTGGCCGAATCGCTGCCCGAAACCACGGACCCAGCAGCAGCAGCACCGGAGAAGGCGGTGCGGGGCGGGGTGGCCTCAATGGAGAGGCGCTGCAGCAGCGAGCAGCCCTTGAAGAGCGTGGAGAGCCCGTGCGGGCCGTACGCAAAGCCCAGGTCGGGGTCGGGGCCCAGGGCAAGGTGCGTGAGGGCCGGGCACGTGTAGGCGATGGTGCAGAGGAAGTCGTCGGAGACGGGCGCGTCGAGGGCAGCGGAGGGCAGCAGCAGCGAGTGCAGGGTGCGCGAGTAGGAGAGCGCCCTCAGCAGCCCCATGGCGTTCACCCGCTTGCCCCTAGGTAGCTTCAGCCGCGTGAGACCCTGCAGGGGGAGAGGAGTGAGGTAGGAACGGAGTGAGTGTGAGAGAAGAACCTGAGCGCTCAAACTTCAAATCACATCAAGTTCCACCTGATGATAACCACCTGGGCGGCGGGGCTCACCTGGTGTGCCACCTGGCGCCAGGCGCGGCAGACACAGGAGAAGCTGATCCAGTCGTGAGGCGAGTCGAGGAACGACAGCACGCCCAGCAGACACTCTGCCGTCAGCCTCGCCCCACTCGCTGCCCCCCCCCGCTGCCGTGCCGCTGCTGCCGCTCGCCGTGATGTGCCGGCAGCACCGCGACCCGCACCCGTGGCTGCACCCGACCGGCTGCTGCGCGCTGCACTGGCTGCTGTCAGCCCGGCTCCCAACGCCGGGAACACACCCATGCCCGCTGCAGCGGCGGCGGAGGTGGCGGAGGGGTCGGCGTGGTGCAGCATGGCGGTGCGGCGGTTGCCTGATGTGTTGGAGTCCGATGTATCGAGGTCTGGTGGGCACACGTGGCACACGTGGGACACGTGGGACAGGTGGGACACGTGGCACACGTGGGACAGGTGGGACACGTGGGACACGTGGGACAGGTGGGACACGTGGGACACGTGGGACAGGTGGGACACGTGGCACACGTGGGACATGTGGGACAGGTGGGACAGGTGGGACGGTGTGGAGGGCAGGTGAGTACTCAGACGTGCCGTGAGGCACAGAGGAGAGAAGAGGAGAGAGGAGATGAAGCGTGGATAGAAAACACAAGCTGTGAAACAACGACTACTGCGCACCATGCACTTACTGCTGCGCACCATGCACTTACTGCTGCGCACCATGCACTGCTGCGCACCATGCACTTACTGCTGCGCACCATGCACTGCTGCGCACCATGCACTGCTGCGCACCATGCACTTACTACTGCGCACCATGCACTTACTGCTGCGCACCATGCACTTACTGCTGCGCACCATGCACTGCTGCGCACCATGCACTTACTGCTGCGCACCATGCACTGCTGCGCACCATGCACTGCTGCGCACCATGCACTGCTGCGCACCATGCGCTGCTGCGCACCATGCACTGCTGCGCACCATGCACTGCTGCGCACCATGCACTGCTGCGCACCATGCGGTGAGTTGCCACAATGCAACGCACCTGCATCCGTGTCATAGGGCGTGGAGAGCTCACCTGCATCCGTGTCATAGGGCGTGGAGAGCTCACTCTCCTCCTCGCTGCCTGCCACCACACCACCCTCGCCTCCCCCCATGGCCTTGGCGCGTGCGGCGGCAAGCTGCTGTTGCAGCAGCAGGGCCAGCCCTTTGGACCCCCCCAGCGCGCCCACCACACCCTGCGACCCGCCCTCCGCCATGCCCGTCCCAAATATGTCGATCACCGCCCCCTCCTCCTCTTCCTCCTCCTCCTCATCTTCATCTTCCTCATCTTCCTCATGCTCATCCTCGTCCTCTTCCTCCTCCTCATCCTCCTCTTCATCCTCCTCTCCCCCGTTCTCATCACTAACACCCTCCGCTTCACTTCCCTCCTCTTCTTCCTCCTCCTCCTCCTCTTCCTCTTCTTCCTCCTCATCTTCCTCCTCCTCTTCCTCCTCTTCCTCCTCATCTTCCTCCTCATCTTCCTCCTCTTCCTCCTCATCTTCCTCCTCATCTTCCTCCTCTTCCTCCCCTTCCTCTCCTAGCTCATAATCTTCTTCCTCCTCCGCATCTTCACCTGCAACATTAAATGCAAACCCGCCACTTTCCTCTCCCTCCTCTCCTTCCTCCTCGTCCTCATCACCCCCCTCTTCCTCCTCTTCCTCGTCCTCACCCTCCTCTCCCTCATCTTCCTCTTCCTCATCCTCATACTCTCCCTCGTCCTGTCCCATGTCCTCCTCCCCGCCTTGCCCCTCCTGCAGCCCCTCGCCTCCCTCATGCGCCCCCACCGCGCCCTGCATGAACTCGAACGTGCTATCCAGCTGCTCCCCACCGGCGCCCGTGCCCCCTGCCCCACTGCCCTCGCCTCCTCCTCCCTGCCAATCCTGCTGCTGCTGCTGCTGTTGAAACTGCTGCTGCTGCTCACCTGCAAAACCTTGACTGCTTCCCAGTCCACCATCATGCGCCCCTGCCTCTGCATACTCTCCCTCCCCCGCATACTCTCCTCCTCTGTACTCTCCTCCTCTGTACTCACCCTCTCCGTACTGCCCTTGCTCCCCGTAATGCCCTTGCCCTTCAAACTGCCCCTCCCCATACACCCCGTGTTCCTCAGTAAACTGGTTCTGACCTTCCACATACCCATCCTGAGTTTCGTTATAATCACCCTCGCCCTCATGGTAGTCACCTGCGCCCCAATCACCCTCCTTCCCATAATCCCCTTCGCCATACTGCCCCTCTCCCTGCCCGAATTGCCCCTCCGTCTGCCCAAATTGGCCCTCTCCCTGCCTGAATTGCCCCTCCTCCTGACCATATTGCCCATCTTCTTGCCCGAATTGCCCTTCTCCCTCCCCATAATGTCCCTCCCCCTCCCCGTACTGTCCTTCTCCCTCCCCATACTGTCCCTCCCCCTCCCCATACTGCCCCTCCCCCTCCCCCTCCCCATACTGCCCCTCCTGATAACCGCTCTCTTCCTCGCCTTGCCCTTGAAAGCCCTCAAACTCCCCTCCCTCCATCTGGCCCCCCTGTGCATGCCCGTCATAGCCCCCCTCACCACCGTACTCCCCTTCCCCATACCCCTCCCCATCTGGATACCCCTCTCCCTGCCCTCCCTCCTCGCCCTCCCATCCCTCCCCTCCCTCCTCCTCGCCCACTTGAAATCCACCGAACCCACCCTCTCCTCCATCATCCTCGTTATAGTGCTCCCCATCATACTGCTTGCCATACTCCCCATCAGCACCGCCCCCTTCCCCGCCCTCTGCTTGCCCATCGCCTGGGTGGAACCCCCCTTCCCCGTCAGCCACGTGCCCCTGCCCCTCTGCTGCGTACTGCTGCCCCTCATCATACTCCTGCTGCTCATCAAACTCCCCTTCACCCTCGTTATAATCACCTTCCCCATATTCACCTCCTTCATGCTCCACAAACTGCTGTCCCTCTTCCGCATATCCTCCCTCCCCCTCCTCGTACTGCCCTTCCACCTCTTGATACCCCCCCTCCCCATCATGGTACTCCTGCCCTTCACCATACTCCCCCCCAGCACCTTCACCCCCCTCCTCGTAATACCCTTCGCCCTCACCAAACTCTCCTTCATACCCCTCCTCTAAATGGCCCTCCTCCGTATACCCCTCCTCTCCATGCCCCTCCTCCACATACCCCTCCTCCCCATACCCCTCCTCCTCATGCCCTTCCTCCCCATACCCCTCCTCCCCTTGTCCCTCCTCCCCATACCCCTCCCCCTCCCCCTCCCCATACCCCTCCCCCTCCCCTTCCCCCTCGCCCTCCTGCACGTGCTCCAGCTCGCCACCATGCGCCATGCCGCCATGCCCCTCGGCCCGCCCGCCCTCATCCCCCCCTGCCACGGAGCCAAAGCCCCCCAGGGGGCTGCTCGGGGCGCCGTGCCCGAAGGGGCTGCCAAGGGGGCTGCCCATGGGGCTATTGCCAGCAGGCGAGGGCGGCATGTGCATGGCGTCCAGGTTGAACCCCAGGGGGGCGCGCGGGCCGATGGACGGCAGGCGCCACGCGTGCAGCACCTCCTCACCCACCTCGTCCAGCAGCCCTTCGCCCTCCCCGCCTGCCAACATGTGGTCCTGCTCGCCGTCATACTCGCCCTCGTACTCTTCTCCATGCCCATCCCCCTGCTCATCCCCATGGCCCTCCTCTCCTTCATGCCCATCCATGCCATGCCCTTCATGCTCGTATTCACCCTCATCCTCCTGCTCCTGCTCGTATTCTTGCTCCTGCACGTGCTCTTGCGACCCCGCCTCATCCTGCCCCTCAAACTCCAGGCTGCCCTCCCCGTCCAGCTCGTCATCAAACCCATCCAGGCCATTGATCCCCTCGTGCTCCTCGTCCATGCGCATCTCCAGCCGTTCATCCATCTCGGCTGCCATCTCCAGCGCCAGCTCTCTCTCCCTCTCCATCTGTCGCTCGCGATCGTCCTCCTCATCCTCCGCCTCTCCACCCCCCATCTCGCCCTCCTCGTATCTCCCCTCCTCCTCACCATACTCACCCTCTCCCTCAAACCCTCCCTCCTCTCCGTATCCCTCGCCCTCCTCCCCATACCGCTCTCCCTCCTCCCCATACCTCTCTCCCTCTTCCCCATACATCTCTCCCTCCTCCCCATACCTCTCTCCCTCCTCCTCATACCTCTCGCCCTCCTCCCCATACCTCTCTCCCTCCTCCCCATACCCCTCACCCTCCTCCCCATATCCCTCGCCCTCACCGTACCTCTCCTCCCCATCGCCATATCCATCCTCCTGCCGCCCCTCCTCATACTCCTCCTCGCCCTCCATCCGCTCCTCCCCTTCCCCATCCCAATCCCCGTCCTCCCTCTCCCGCTCATACACGCCCTCCTCCCCCGCGCCATACTCCCCATCCATCTCCACACCCTCCTCTCCCTCCATCTCCCCGTCATCCCCCTGCCCATACCCCGCCTGTCCGCGCCGCTGCACCAGGTGCTGCTCCAGCTTGGCGAACACAGAGTCGGTGCGCAGCAGATCCGACTTCCCCACACCGCCCGCGCCCACCTGTGCGCGCAGCAGCTCCGTCGCCGTCACACTCTGCGACCGCGACGGCTTCGCCTTGCCCCTCGCCCCTCCCCGCCTCCACCCCCCTTGCTCCTCGCCCCCGTCCCCGCCCTCCGCCCGCTCATCCTCGTACCCCTGGCCGCCCGCGTGCCACGCCATGCGCCCCAGAGCCATGGAGTGCGCCTCCACCTTGCCCAGCGACTGTGACCGCGACGCCTGGAACTTGATGCTCGCCACCCGCTCCTGCTCCTCCTCGTCCTCCTCCTCCTCTCCCTCCTCTCCTTCCTCCTCCTCGCCCTCCCCTTCCTCCTCCTGCAGAGTTTCCAAGTACTCCTCCTCGTCCCTCTCCCGCCCGCCATACCCATCCTCCTCCTGTACTCTCCTGTCCTCCTCCCCCACCTCCTCTCCATCCTCCTCTTCCTCTTGAATGCGTCCGCCGCCCCACTTGCCCCCCTCCTCCGCCCACATGCCACTGCCCTCCTCCCTCTCACGGTCACTCTGCTTCTCATCCAGGGCCCACGTCACGTTCTTGCCCAGCGACTTTGATCGCGACCCCCTCAGGCCCGTCGATGCCATCTGCTCCGCCGGAATCGACGACCGGGATCGCGACGGCGGGCGCGGCTTGAACGGCCCAAGATCGCCATACTGATCCGCTGCACCACCCCCACCACCACCGCGCCCACGCATGCCCCTGCCGCTGCCGCCCTCGCCCTGCCCATCGTCCTCCTCCCCCTCCTCCCTGTCATGGCTGCTCCACACGCCCGGCCCCAGGGAGCGGGAGCGGGAGGGCACGCCATTCTCGATGCGCACACCCTCCTTGTGGATCAGCTCGTCCAGCTGTCGGTTCACCCGCCGGTCCATCCACTCCCCGTCCGTCCTCCCCAGACTCCGCCCCCTCACCAAATCCCTCCCCTTCCCTCCATCCGCACTCTCCCCAGCTCCTCCCCCACTCCCCCCTCCTCTCCCCTTTGCTTCCTCCTCATCTGCCCACTTGAGGCTGCTCCCCCGCCGCAGGGAGGACGCCCTGTGCGCCGAGGGCTGCCCCGCCTGCACCCAGTCGCCGTCCGGCTGGTTCAGGCTGCCGCCACGTCGCAGCCCGCGGCGCAGCCCTCCCTGAGAGCCGTGCCCGCCCTGGGCATGCCACGACCCGTCGCGCTGGTTGAGGCTGCCCCCGCGCTGCAGGTCAGACCGCTGCTTGCCCGCCCCCGCCACCACCTGCTCGTCAATACGCCCCAGGCTGCGCCCCCGGTACAGCTCCGACGAGCCCCGCCGCCCACCAGGAGGAAGCAGCCAGTCGTTGCCGCCCTCGTCGTGGCCATCGTGGCCGTCGCGGTGGTCCTGTGTACGGTAGAACTCGTGGTCCTCGTGGTCGTACGGCGCCGCCTGCCCCTCGTCTGAGTCGCCCTCCATGCCCTGCCCCTCGCCTTCCTCCCCTTCCTCTGCCCCCCCATGCCCGTACTCATCGCCCTCACCATCCTCCATCTCATATCCATGCCCCTCCTCATCCCCATGCCCATGCCCATGCCCCTCATGGTACTCATCATAGTCCTCCTCGCCCGCCTGCCCATACGCATGCTCCTCAGGCGGTCCATACTCGTCCTCTGGGTGACCCTCGTACTCATCCCCCTCGCCTCCCTCCATCTCCCCATACTCCAAGCCCCCATGCTGCACCCCGTGCCTCTCTCCCTCGTACCCCTCTTCACCCCCCTCCTCATACGCCCCATCATCCTCCTCATACTCCCCGCCTCCCCGCCTGTAAGCACCCCCAGCACCAGCATGCTCATCGCTGCCCTCCCCATGCTCAAACTCGTCCTGCCCCTCACTGCCATCAAGCTCCGCGTGCCCCTCGCCATGCATGTGCTCCCCTTCCTCGTACCCCTCCCCGGTTGCTCCGTACCTCTCCTGCTCCATTTCAAACCCTTCCTCCTCATACCCTTCCTCTCCCTCCACGTAACCTTCCTCGCCCTCCACATACCCGTCCTCGCCCTCCACATACCCCTCGTCCCCCTCCAGAAAACCAGTCTCCCCCTCCCCACCAAGCCCCTCCCTGCCCTCATCGTACTCGTCGCCCTCCTCAAACCCCTCCTTCCCGTGGCCCGCATACTCATCCCCATACTCCGCCTCCCCATCACCCACCCTCTCACCTTCCATGCCATGCCCTTCCAGCCCCTCCTCGTACTCGCCCTCCTCCCCAAAGCCCTCCTCCCCAAAGCCCTCCTCTCTCATCGCAAGCTCTGCCTCACGCCTCTCCTCCTCCTCCTCTTCGCCCTCCTCGCCCTGCGCCCCTCCCTGCAAGCCCATCCCAAAGTCGAAGCTCCCTCCCGAGTCCCCACCCCTGTGCCCTCGCCCCTTGCCCCTCGCGCCCTGCCCTTCCCACTCGCCCTCCTCCCCCTCCTCCCCCTCCTCCCCCTCCTCTGCCATCTCCCCCCGCTCGCCCTGCCCGTACCCGCCATCGTCCTCGACATCGCGCCACTCCTCGCCCTGCATGCCCCCATGCACACCATCACGCATGCCCCCATGCACGCCATCACGCATGTCGTCATCATCACCCATGCCACCATGCACGCCTTCACGGAACAGATCAACCCCCTCCCCCTCATCCCCATGCCCATACCTCCCTTCCTCACCCTCCCTGTCCCACTCTCCCTCCTCACCCCCCTCCTCATGCCACTCCTCTCCACCCTCCTCCCCATCTCCCTTCCACTCTGTTTCATCCTTCCACTGTATTTTCGTCCGCCTCCTCCTGCCCGCGTCCTCCTCTCCTTCCTCTCCTCCCTGCTGTGACCCTGCTCCCTCCTCCCATTCCTCTTCCTCCCTTTCCTCCCCATCACCAAACCTCCTCCCCTCCTCCCCCTCGTCCCCCTCCTCGCCCTCCTCCCCCTCCCACTCACCGCGAGGGCTTCTCATCAGCGCCTCTCCGTCCTCCGACCCCCGCCCATCCTCCCTCCTCCCATACCCCACCCCTTCCTCCCATTCCTCTCTCTCCCCTCCCTCCTCACCCTCCTCTCCTTCCCCATCCTTCCAATCTTCCCGTTCCTCATCCCACATCCCTTCCACCTCCTCCTCCCCCTCCCTCTCCCCCGCGCCCCCCACTGCATCCCCCTCCTCTGTCCCCATGGCAGCCAGGACGTCGCCCACGTGGTTACCACTCCGCCTCAGCCCGCCTCGAAGCCCCCCCTGCATGCCGCTGGGTCTCCGCTGCAGCCCTTCCTGGGTGGCGGAGGCGCGGGCGTGCATCTCCTCCTGCTCGCGCTCGTCCTCCTCGCTGCGCAGCTCGTCCATGAGGTCCGAGATGTACTTGCTGCTGCGCGCCAGCTGCGACGACTGCTCATGCTGCGACGACGCCTGCTGTTGCTGCTGCTTCTGCTTCTGCTGCTGCTGCTGCTCTGCTTCCCATGCCCGCTCTGCTACCTCCTCATCCCCCTCCATGTCCTCCCTATACTCCTCCCCCTCCTCTCTGAATTCCTCGTCTTCCTCATACTCCAGCTCATGCTCCCCATACCCCTCCTCCTGCTCCCCATACCCCTCCTCCTGCTCTTGCCCATCCCTTTCCTCCTCCGATGAATAATCCTCCGCCTCACCAGACCCAGCAGCACGGCCGCCCCTGGCAGCAGCGAGAGCAGCAGCAGCGTCTGCAGCAGCCTCAGCAGCCACGTGATCATCATACAGATCCAGGTCAGACAGCAGGTCCTTCACGTACTTGGTGCTTCTATGCAGCCCTCCTGCCCCCCCGCCCACGCTGCTGCCTCTCGCACTGCCATTGCCAAATCCACCACCACCCTCCTCCTCCTCATCCTCCTCCTCGCGCCCGTCCCCTGGCTCCCCCTCCTCCTGCAACTCCTCCATTAAGTCTTTCACATACTTGCTGCTGCGCTCCAGCCCGCCAGACGCGCGGCTCCTCAGCCCACCACCAGCGCCAGCGCCACCACCATCACCGACCTTACCACTGCCACCTCGCTGCAAGCCCAGCTCGCCCATCAGGTCGCTCATGTACTTGCTGCTGCGCTGCAGGCTCTGCGACTGCGACTTGGGGAAGCGAGCCATTGCCGCCTGCCGCCCGCCATCCTCGCCCCTGCCCCTGCCCCACTCGCCCCCTCTCTCCTCCCCACCCACCTCATCCTCCCCTTCCTCGCCCTCCTCCCCCATCTCGTGCATCCCCCCACCAGTCAGGTACTTGCTGCTGCGCTGCAGTCCTCCCTTCGCCTCCCTACCCCTCGCCTTCGCCTTCCCTCCCTGCGCGCCCTCGCCTGCGCCCTGCCCGGCGCCATCGCCATACAGGTCCAGGTCGCTGAGCAGGTCGCTCACGTACTTGCTGCTGCGCTGCAGGCTCTGCGACGCCGACTTGGGGAACAGCGACCGCGCAGACGCGCGCCTCTCACCCCCCTCCCCCATCCTCGCCTCACTCCTCCCTCTCAACCCCACACTACCACCTCCCCCCTCACTTTCCTCATCCTCCTCCGCTGCATCCTCTCTACTGGCCCCTCCCATGCTGCCATTCTCACCCCCCTCCCCATCCTCCTCCCTCGCCCTCTCCCTCTCCTCATCCCACTCGCCCTCCTCATCACCATCATCGGAGCGTGCCAAGCCACCAGCCTCGGCGTCGAGCTCGTGCAGGAAGTCAAGCTCGAACTTGCCGCTGCGCTGCAGACTGCTCGACTGAGACGACGACTTGGGCAGCAGCGACCGCGCTCCCTCCCTTCTCACCCTGCCGCTCAACCTCCCTGCTCTCGCCTCCATCTCCTCGTCCCCCTCCTCTCCCTCCTCTCCCTCCTCTCCCTCCTCTCCCTCCTCTCCCTCCATTTCCTCTCCCTCTCGCTCCTCGCCCTTACCCTCCGCCTCGTCCTCGTCAGCCTGCATCTCGAGCATCACATCGCGCATGTACTTGCTGCTGCGCTGGAGGCTCTGCGATGCCGACCTGGGGAACGCACCGCCCGCGCCCACACTCGCTCCTCTGCTTGGACCCGTCTCCACCCCCCTGCCCTCCCCTTCCCCTTCCTCCTCCTCCTCCCCACCCTCGTCCTCCCCCATCTCTTCCCCCCGCCATGCTCCCTGTCCAACCCGCCTGCCACCATGGTCGCTCGCACCCTCCTCGCCACTGTCCCACTCATCCCCGTCCTCTATACTCAACTTCTCCTCGCCTCGCCGCCTCCCTCCCTCCCCATGCCCATCCTCCTCCTCCCCCTCCCCCTCATCATCATCGTACACAGGGAACAGGTCGCCGCCTTCCGAGCTCTCTCCCATGCTGGTGCTGCTGCCAAGCAGCCCAACCCCGCGCCTCATAACCCGCAACCCTTTCACACTCCCCTCCACACTTCCCTCCTCCTCGCCTTCCTGCCCCTCCCCACGACTGTCCCTCTCGTGCACGTCCGACCCGTCGTCCCTCTCTGATCGCTCCTCATCCTCCTCGTGCCCACCAGCATCACCGCCTCTTCGCCGTGCAAACCCTACCCCGCGCATCTGCTCACGTCCCATGAACTCAGGCGTCTGGGGAGTGTAAGGCATCTCATCCTCATCTTCCTCCTTCCCTCTCCGCATCTCGTCCCCCTCCTCCTCCTCCTCTTCCTCCTCGTCCTCCCCATACCCCCCAACAGGGAATAGGTCCTCCTCCTCCTCGTCTCTACCATCCCCCCTGCCAAATCGACCCCTTGCCTCCACACCCTCCTCATCTTCATCCTCCTCGTCCTCCTCACCGTCTCTGCCGCTCCCAAACTCCTCTCGCCAGTTCTCCTCCCCGCCGCTCCCCGCCTCCTCGCCCTCCTCCTCCTCCTCCATCTCATGCGGACCCATGTTGCGCTGCTCCTCCCTCGCCCTGCCCCCCTCATCCTCCTCCTCTTCGCTCCCCCACTCATGCTCCTCCCTCGGCCCCTCCTCGCCCTCCTGCTCATCCTCCTCGCCTCGCTGCGTATCCTCCAACTCATTACCCACCTCGTCTCGCCACACTATCCGCCTCTCCCTCCGCTTCCCATCCACACTCCCCTCGCCCTCACTCTCCCCTTCCACACTCCCTTCCACACTCCCTTCCACACTCCCTTCCACACTCCCCTCTGCCCTCGTCTGCCTCGTGCTCGCTCCCCTGCCCCCATCGTCTTCATCAATCTCCTCCTCGTCCTCGTCCCCATCGCCATCGCTCGCCCGCTCTGTCTCCCACACCTCATGCTCCTCCTCCTTTGTAAACCGTACACGCCTCTTCCCCTCTATGTTCCCCTCACCCACCCCGTCCTCCTCCCCCTCCTCCTGATTCTCGTCCCCACGTGCATCCTCGTCCTCTGTGGCCTTCTGGATCCCATCAACCCCTCCTTCACCAGCTTCCTCCTCCCTCCCCTCCTCGCCATCCGCCTCCTCCTCGCCACCCACCCCATGCCCCGCACCCTTTCCGCCACTCTCGCTACGTCTGCCCACCACCTCCTCCCCATCCACATCACTCACCACCTCTGACCCCTCCTCACTCCTCCTCTCCTCCTCTCCCTCCAGCCCTCTCCCCCTGCGACCATACCCATCCCTGGCCGGCCCCCTCCCACGCCCATACTCACTGCCCTCGTCACTCAACTCCTCATCGTCACCATATCGCCGCCTGTACCTCTCCTCGTCACTGTAATCACCCCTACCCCTCTCACTACCCCTCTCACTGCCCCGCCCGCTGTACCTCTCGTCATCACTGTACCCCTCACCTCGCAGCCCCCTGCCATACTCACTGCCGTCGCTCTCATCCTCTTCCCCTTCTCGGTGCCTCCCTCCCCTCCTCCTTCTCCCCATCGCCCTTGGAGTTCCCCCTTCCTCACTGCCTGCACCAGACCTCACTCTCTCCTCCTCGCTGTCCCATTCACTTCCCTTCCTCCGCTCCTCCTCCAAATCCTCCTCCTCCTCCTTGTGCTTGCTGCCCTCTCCGCGCTGCCGTGCAAGCCTGGGCGTCTCCCCGTCCTCCCTCTCGCCCTCCTCGTCCGAAAGCACATCCGGCATCCTCAACACATCCTTTCTCTCATCTGCGCCTTCCTCTTCCTCGTTCACACTCGCCCTTCCCTTCTCCCCCTCCTCCTCTGCATCTTCCTCCCCCACGCTCATCTGCTCACTGCCCCTCAACCCTCTTGGTGTCAACCCCTCCTCAGACACATCGTCTGTCTCTCCGCCCGCCCCCACCCCCTCCTCCTCCTCATGCTGCTCTCCGTACAGCTCCTCCTCCCCCCCATCGCCATCCCTCTCCTCGCCCTCCTCTCCCTCCAGTCCTTCGCTCCCTCCAAACTCACGTGGAGAGCGGTCATCCTCGTCCCCATACCCTCCGTACAACTCCTCCCCCTCCTCCTCTTCCTCCTCTTCCCCCCTCATCCCTCCTCGCCTCCCCTGCATGCGTGCAGTCAGCCCGTGCTCCTCGTCCTCGTCATAGAGCTCTTCGTCTCCCTCTCTATATTCATCTCCCTCCTCATCCATCCCTTCATCATCTGATCCTGCCCCTCCCTTCTCGGTCCCTTCTTCTGCCGCATCCTCCTCATCTCTCTCTAACCCCGGCTCACGCCTCTCCTCCTGCTCCTCTCCTTCTCGCTCTTCCTCGTCCCCCTCCTCCCTCACTGTCCCACCTCCTCCATCAGCCCTGGGGCTCTCGTTATAGTCACTGCCTTCCTCGTCGGCCCCTTCCCCATATGTCCCTTTCTCAATTCCACCTTCCTCACCTTCTGCCTCCTCACCCTCTGCCGCCTCCTCTCCCGCGTCGCTTCGGAACGCACCAGCTTTACCACCACGACCACGCAGAAGAGACTCATCCTCGCTCAACCCATCCTCACTCCTCTGGACACCTTCGGGTTCTTCGCCATACATATCCTGCTCCCCCTCGCTTAGCATTTCCCTTTCCTCCTCGCCTTGCATTTCCCCTTCGCCATCCCCATACATCTCTCTCCCCTCTTCGCTTCGCATTCCCCCTTCCTCCTCGCCATACATATCCCTCTCCTCCTCGTTTTGCATGTCTGCACCACCCTCACCATACATATCCTCTTCCTCCTCACCATGCATATCCCTTTCCTCGTCCCTGTACACATCTCTCTCCTCCTCACTGTGTGCATGCCTTTCCTCCTCACCATCGCTGAGCAAGTCCCTTTTCGCCTCCCCTTGTCGTTCCTCCCCCATGAGCTCACCAAAATCAGCACCAGATGCGCCTCCTCCTACCCCTTCTTCCTCCTCACCACTCACGTCATTTGCCCCACCTCTCTTCTCTTCCCCAGCACTCTCCTTCCCTTCCCACTCCCCTTCGTTCTGAAGCGCATCCGTCCCTTCCTCGCCTGCATCCTCCCCCGCGTCCACTTCCCCTTCACTCCGCTCCTGGGGACGTGTGGCCTTGCCGTCCACTCCCCCCTCCTCCTCACCGCCCTGCTCGTCCTCCTCGCTGTGCCGTTCGTCCTCCTGCCCCACCATCTCACCACCCTCCGCGCCATGTGAAGCTGTGTCTTCTTCCTCGCCGCCCTCCCCTGTGCCCTTAGCATCCACTGCACCCGCACCTCCCTCCCCATCCCCTCCTGCTCCCTCCCCCTCTGCTCCTTCCATGGCCTCCTCGTCTGCACCCTCCGACCTCTCGTCCTCGCTATACCTCTCCCCTCGCCTCCTGTACCTCTCTTCCTCCTCCTCCTCGTCACTGTAGCGTCCTCTCCTCCTCTCGTCGCCATCCTCCTCATCACTATACCGCTCTCTCCGCCTGTACCCCTCTCCTTCCTCATCCTCATCCTCATCCTCATCACCAGCACGCCTGTCCCTGCGTCGCCCGTACCCCCTGTCCTCATCACTGTACTCATCGTCACTGTATCTTCCCCGCGGCCGCTCCCCATCTCTCCCGCGCGCGCCCTCATCCTCCTCATCACTGTACAGGGGTCGCCTTCCCCTTCGCCCCGCTCCCTCGTCGCTGTAATCACTCCTCTCATCCTCGCTGTACTCGCCCCGTCCCTCCCCTCGCCGTCCACCGTACCCCCCTTCCTCCTCATCATCATCACTGTACAGCCTTCCCCTTCCCTCCCCATCCCCGCCATCCTCACTCGCTCTCCGCATCCCCATCTCCCCGTCGCCCCCTTCGTCCTCACTGCCTGCCCTCCCACGTGACCCTTGCCAACCGTCACTGCGCCCATCACCCTCCTCGTCGCTCCCCTCACCAGCACTGCGGCCTGCAACGTCCCTTCCGTCTGCCTCAGCATCCTCGCCACGCTCCTCAACCTCTTCCTCCCCTCCCCCCACCCTCCCCTCCCTCTCCTCCTCCGCAAGCCCAGCGCCCTCATCGTCGTTTCGAACCCTCTGCTCGCCGCCCTCGTCCCCCCGCTCATCCTCGCCCTCCGCGCTCGCCACCTCTGCGGCGCCACCTCCCCCATCATCCGCATCTTCTGCATCACTCTCCTCGCCGCGTGCCCTGCTTGCAACTCCCTCGCCCTTACTCGCCGTACCCGCATCCTCCCTCTGCCCCTCCTCCGCGGCTGCTTCAGTGCGCTCCTCCTCCCCCTCCGACAGCACTGCCCTCGCGCCCTCCTCCTCGTCGCCGCCTTCACGCCACACTCCTTCCTCCGCCTCCCCCTCTGCGCCGTCCTCCTCATGCAGCCCCCCCTCCCTTTCCTGCATCCCCGGTTCCTCCCCTTCCTGTCCCCCGTCCTCCGGGTACTCCCCCTCTTCCTCCGGGTATTCCCCCTCTTCCTCCGGGTATTCCCCCTCTTCCTCCGGGTATTCCCCCTCTTCCTCCGGGTATTCCCCCTCTTTCTCCGAGTACTCTCCTTCTTTCTCCGGGTATTCCCCCTCTTCCTCCGGGTACTCCCCCTCTTCCTCCGGGTATTCCCCCTCTTCTTCCGGGTATTCCCCCTCTTCCTCTGGGTATTCCCCCTCTTTCTCCGGGTACTCTCCTTCTTTCTCCGGGTATTCCCCCTCTTCCTCCAAGTATTCCCCCTCTTCCTCTGGGTATTCCCCCTCTTCCTCTGGATACTCCCCCTCTTCCTCTGGGTACTTCCCCTCTTCCTCTGGATATTCCCCTTCTTCTTCTGGGAATTTTCCTTCTTTTTCTGGGTACTCCACCTTTTCCCCTGGGTATGCCCCCTCTTCCTCCGGGTACTCCCCCTCTTCTTCCAAGTAACCCCCCTCGTCCTCCGGGTGCAAATCGTCCTCCCCCAACCGTTCATCCGCCTCCTCCGTTCCGCCCTCAGCCCCTTCCGCGCTGCCCTTGCCGCTCTCTTTCTTGCCCCTCCCCAACCCCCCTCCTCCGCCTTGCCCCTCCACTCCTTCCTCCCCCGCCTCCTCATCCTCTTCGTCGTACATGTCCCCGTCTTCCCCGTACATGTCCTCCCCTTCCGCATACATATCCCCCTCTTCCCGCGGCAGCTCTTCTTCAACTTCGCCCCTCTCTGCCCCCTCCGCAAGAACATCACCACCACCTTCCTCTTCGCGCCCCTCTTCCGCGTGTTCCCCCCCTTCTTCCGCATACTCTCCTCCCTCTTCCGCGTATTCTCCCCCTTCTTCCGCGTATTCTCCCCCTTCTTCCGCATATTCTCCCCCTTCTTCCGGGTACTCTCCCCCCTCTTCCGCGTACTCTCCCCCTTCTTCCGCATACTCCCCCTCCTCCCCATAACCCTCTTCACCATACTCCTCATCCCACTCCCCCTCTTCCCCGTACTCCCCCCCTTCTGCATACTCTTCCCCTTCTGCGTGCGCCCCACCTTCCGCGCCCCCTCCGCCCTCCGCGTGCCCCTCGCCTTCTTCCCCGTACCACTCCCCGTCCTCCTCGCCCTCGCCGTACCCCTCCTCGCCCTCGTAGTGCTCCTCTCCCTCGCCAGCCGCCTTCGCTCCACCATCGCCACCCCCTTCCACGTATTCGCCTTCCTCATCGTAATACTCGCCTTCGCCCTCCCAGTCCCCTTCCTCCCCCTCGTATTCCCCCTCTCCTTCGCCCTTCACGCCTCCCACCTTCTGCCCCTCAACACCCTCTTCCTCCTCGTAATATTCTCCTTCTGCGTCCTCTTCGCCGTATTCCTCGCCGTACTCTTCGCCGTCGCCCCCCTCGTGAAGCCCATCGCCAGGGGGGTGCGGCCGTCCTTTTCCTGAACCCTCGGCACCACCTTCCTCGCCATAATCACCTTCGTCTCCGTACATGTCATCTCCCACGTTGTAGTCATCTTCGCCTTCTTCGTACGGCTTGTTACCATCGTCGTCACCACCTTTCGCCGATCCGTCGCCATCCATAACGAATCAATTTCGCAGGTACTAATATACTTTCGCTCGACGTATTGAAGACATCAACAAGGTCTAGCTTAATCTCTAAGCAGAATGTCAAATGTTAATAAACTGAAGGCCATAAATTGTAATGCCGCGAAGGCTTCGCGCTTTGCATACACCAACGTCGCCCTCGAGTGCAGATCAAAATTAAGTTAATGCTAGTCACCCAATTCCGCGACAACGCGGTTTGGGAATCAGTTGTTAATCACCAGCCTTCATGGAAAACCGATCAATAATTATTAATTTTAATAAATATTTACAAAACTTCACCATTCCTGAGCACCTCGCTCTGCTCGCCTTTGAAAGGCCTTCGTGGAAAACTCAAGTGAAACGCAAGGGGTGGGAGGGAAGGAGGAGCTGGAGTGGAGTTCGACAACCCCAAGGCACGCACGCATCAGTCAGTTGAGCGAGGTGGGTGTGTGGGGGAGGGGAGTGTGTGCTGCGCAGCCGCCGTACAGTACCATCACTGACCCCCACTGACCACAGCTGCCAACCAACCAAACCGAAGCAAACACGGAAAACCCTCAATCAGACTGTTGCGGTTGGGATAACCTCGGGGCTGCCACGCGAACGCAAGCGAGCGCCTACGCCCGTGCTTTTCCGCCGTGGCTCGTATGAACATAGCAGTCGTTTGAGAATGTCGAAGCTACCTCCCAAGCAGCAACTTGCTTCGGGTCCCTGCAAACCGAAGCACGGATCTGGTTTGAGAAACATAGAGGCTGGTTCGAGTACGTACCTGAGTTCAAGGTCAGGAGGAGAGGCTCCGCCCTGGAAAGTACTTCACCTCGATGTAGTCTGATTCACGGCTACACCGCGCACACACAAAAATGAGCAACAGGTAGGAAGCTGGGCCCTTCTTATCAGACCAAATCGGTCTAATGGTTCTATTTTCAGAAAATAATTTTATCATACTTTTTCAACAATGACCTTGATTTTGGGTGATCCATCGGACTACTGAATTTATTTCGTCTCTTTTTTACAAAGCTTTATACTTCGTTACAAGGCTTTCCCTCATATGGGAGTCTGCATTTCTAGGGAACATCTGATTAAACCCGAGTCTAGAATGGCAATGTTTCATAAATACTGAAGTTGAAAGTGGTTTACGAAGGGTGGCGAGAGTTCAATTCGCTAAACCAGGATGGCGAAAGGTGACGAGCGGCGAATACGACCCTGTGTATTGTTGGCCACTTTCGAGTTCAAGAAACTTGAAGGCTGCACAAAGGACAAAAGTGCCACAAGGCGAAAACATCGAGGGTCCGAGAGATCACACCTGAAAGTCGAACGTGTGACCGACAAAATTATTTCAGCATATAACGCTGGTGCGATAAGAATATTAGACTGACGTGATAGCAATCATAAAGTGGAGAAAATTTTCACACCGTAATTTGTGTGGTTGAATGAGCATCAGTAATGCTAATTACAGAGGATTTACACATTTCAATACGATTTGAAACCAGGAACATAAAAAAAAAAAAAAAAAAAAAAAAAAAAAAAAAAAAAAAAAGAGGCGACGAAATCGTCTTAGGGCTGCGGAGCTTTCCATATTTTTGCACAAAACATATCATTAATATTGAGATGTAACTTTCACAACACGTACAACAAATGTAACCTTCCAAAACCGAGATCGTCAGGTTTCATTTCTGCGGTGAATCGATCACGATATCTTTCCATCTAAAGGAGACTTCGAAACCGTTGCGCAACATCGGCCGATAAAAGAGTCGACATTATAAAACACTATTGTTATATATTAACGCGAAGTCAAGCCTTCTTAGGATTTCTGTTTCCCTTTCTCGCTGGTGCCCTCTGCTCCTTCTCCCGTTAGTTCCCTCTTCTTCTGCTTCAACTACCGCTCCTGCTAACTACCCTACCTCCAACACAACCTCTTCTATTTTAACTACTAAGGTGAGCTTAGAATACTATTAACCTATCCCTCTCGATCTACGACGATCGCTTCTTTGTTATTCCCTCTCCTCGTTTTTCTTGTCAAATCAATCGATATGGTATTCTTCCTTGTACTTCTCCTCCCTTTCCGTCCACGGTACGAGTAAGAATCCCAACCACTAGACAATTGGGATAAAAGGCCTTGTTTGTGTAGCGCGTAAGTGCGCCCATAACCCCCCAGGCCAACATGCCTGTAACCCTTCCCTAGGATCAATCGGGGATCACCAGTGGACCTCTGACACCCCCCCGCACTGGGATGCCCAAAGTGCACACACCGGGATTCGAACCCGAGACCTTCCCTCTAATACCATGTCTGAATCCCAGCCATTAGACCACTGGGATAAAATGGCTTATTTTAGTAGCGGGTCAGTGCGCCCATAACCCCCCAGGCGAACGCGCCTGTAACCCTCTCCAGGATCAATCGGGCATCCACAGTGCAGATCTACTGACACCCCCCCATACTGGGAGGCCCAGGACTAAGCACAGCGGCACCGGCCTACATGTACGGTCCTCTTCTTGTAATTCTAAGTGTTTTTTATGTCGTCGTTTTCCCTACGTTCCTTTATTGCTTTCGCTTCCTTCGTCTTTCCTCTTGCGTCGTTTTCCTTCATGTCTGATTTTTTCGACTCGTTATTCTTTAGATGCTTTTGTAGTTTTTTCTCTGCTCCTTTCTTCCTTAGTTGACGTGCGTTTTTTACTTCCCTTTTCATTCGTCGCCTCTCTTAAAGTCAACCGTATGTTCTTCTTTCTTCCTTCCTCGTCTTATCTTTCGTTCCTTCATTCTTACTCGAAATACTATCGAGGATTACAATTGCTGTCTTTTTTGTCAAACTCATATCATATAGTTTGTCTAGGCTATAGTGGGGTAGACACTATGGGGTACAGTTTCCTAGGGTTTCCTACTTGTACCCAACCTTGTGCTAGTTCATTCATTCCTCGTTCTTTCACATGGTATAGAGCACGTTCCCTAGTGGGAACGCTTCCTTGGGCCCACCACTGAAAACTTTTTTCTGACCGAAGCGCGAGTCGCTCCTGCCCGAGGCGCGCCTTGTGGGCCGCCCTTTTGTCGAGCTCTCTTAGAGGCCCCTCTCACGGCCCCTCGCGCCACCCTTAGCGGCCCCGTCGCCGCCCCTAGCGGCCCCGTCGCCGCCCTTCCAGGCCCCTCGCGGCCCCTAGTGGCCCCGTCGCCGCCCTTCCAGGCCCCTCGCGGCCCCTTGCGGCCCCGTCGCCGCCCCTACGCGGCCCCGTCGCCGCCCCTAGCGGCCCTGTCGCTGCTCCTAGCGGCCCCGTTGCCGCTGTTGGAATCACTGAACAGGAATGAATGAACTAGCAGTGAAATGAGTACAAGTACCTAACCCTAGAATTGTGTACCCCCTATAGGCTAACCCACTGTAGCCTAAACTAACACAACATATATAATGTTTGACAGCCGCTTCCCTCCCTATGCGGCCCCGTTGCCGCCCCTACGCGGCCCCGTCGCCGCCCCTACGCGGCCCCGTCGCCGCCTTTACGCGGCCCCGTCGCCGCCCCTAGTGGCCCCGTCTCCGCCTGCCTCCCTACGCGGCCCCGTCGCCGCCCCTAGCGGCCTCGTCTCCGCCTGCCTCCCTACGCGGCCCCGTCGCCGCCCCTAGCGGCCTCGTCGCCGCCCCTACGCGGCCCCGTCGCCGCCCCTGGCGGCCCCGTCGCCGCCTCCCTCCCTACGCGGCCCCGTCGCCGCCCCTAAACGGCCCCGTCGCCGCCCCTAGCGGCCCCGTCGCCGCCCCTACGCGGCACCGTTGCCGCCCCTAGCGGCCCCGTTGCCGCCCCTAGCGGCCCCGTCGCCGCTCCCCTCCCTACGCAGCCCCGTCGCCGCCCCTACGCGGCCCCGTCGCCGCCCCTACGCGGCCCCGTCGCCGCCCCTAGCGGCCCCATCGCCGCTCCCCTCCCTACGCGGCCACGTCGCCGCCCCTGCGCGGCCCCGTCGCAGCCCCTAGTGGCCCCGTCGCCGCCCCTACGCGGCCCCGTCGCCGCCCCTAACGGCCCCGTCGCCTCCTCCTTCCCTACGCGGCCGTGTCGCCGCCCCTACGCGGCCCCGTCGCCGCCCCTAGCGGGCCCTTTGCCGCCTCCCTCCCTACCCGGCCCCGTCGCCGCCCCTACGCGGCCTCGTAGCCGCCCCTACGCGGCCCTGTCGACGCCCCTAGCGGCCCCGTAGCCGCTCCCCTCCCTACGCGGCCCCGTCGCCGCCCCTAGCGGCCCCGTCGCCGCCCCTACCCGGCCCCGTCGCCGCCCCTAGCGAGCAGCTGAGCCGCCGAGCCGCCAAGCAGCTGAGCCGCCGAGCCGCCCAGCAGCCGAGTCGCCCAGCAGCCGAGCCGCCCTTGCAGCAGCCGCCCCTGGAGCAGCCGCCCTTGGAGGAGCCGCCACTGCAGCAGCCGCCCCTGCAGCAGCCGCCCCTGCAGTAGCCGCCCCTGCAGCAGCCGCCCCTACAGCAGCCGCCCCTGGAGCAGCCGCCCCTGGAGCAGCCGCCCCTGGAGCAGCCACCCCTGCAGCTGCCGCGGAGCTCTCGCCCTACAGTGGTAGCCGCCTCGCCGTTGCCGCCGTCGTACGCCTGCCCTTCTCGCCACTGGTGAGCACTGCCCTGCCCGTACTGCTGTTACTGCTGCTCTTCCTGCTACTGCTCTTTCTATTGCTACTGCTGCTCCTGGTGTGGCCAGATGTAGCTCCAGCGTCGCCCGCGTGAGTCCCTCACCCCCCAACAGCTTCGTGAGTGGTACGCCAGTTGGGGTTGTCGGGGTGGCACTAGTGGGAGTCGTCCTGGAGTGGGTAGTTCGGGAGTTTCTTGTAGTGGCCCGGTGCAGCAGCAGCGTTGTCCGCGCGAGACTCCTTCACCCCAGCAGCTTCGTGAGTGGTACGCTCAGAGTGGAGGGTCATTGAGTACTGCTCGCTGCCCGTACGTTATTAGCACGGGTGTCCGGACTGGTCAGACTTGCGGGACACGTGGTCACACAGAGTCCCGCTGCTTCGCCCGTCTGAGCGACGCTTGGCGTACA